ACCAAGATTAACAATAAATAGAGTGTTTCAACGTAGCTAACTCAGACTCTGTTAGAACGACTGGAGGTGGTGCATGGGAATCTTTCTTTGAAGGAAATGAAAAAAGTACGTTCGAGTGAGAGATCGACCTAAAAAAAAACAAGAGCTGCCGAAACAGTTTGTTGCGGCATCATTGGGCTGGTGGCTTCATTGGATCGTACTTCTACAAAGACGATGCGAATCGTAACGTAACTGTGAATGGTGAGTTTTTTTTGCCCAGAGCTTGACTTGCATGACATGTGGTTTCAACAAGACGGTGCCACATGCCACACAGCACGCGAATAAATGGACTTATTGAGAGGCGAGTTCGTTGAACATTTTATTAGATGTTGGGGACTAGTCAATTGGCCACCTTAATCGGGCGTTTTAACGCCCTTAGAATATTTTTTGTAGGGCTACGTTAAATCTAATATCTATACAGGCAAACCCGCTTCAATTGACGCAGTTTTGAAGCCGAAATGGGGGAAAGTCTATGCCAAAATTGGACCACGCGGATGGACCGTACTATCGATTCAAATAAAGATTTCATGCACTTTTCTGAAGTTTAAGTGTTTTTTTTTTGATAAACTTTCCTATAAAAAATCAGCCTTTATTTCAGCATGCTTATCGTCTCACTACCGACAAGTTTCTTCAGTCGATACTTGTAGTAAATATTTATTGGTGCTATAAATAGAGTTTGAGGGATTTCGAATGTAGCTTTCACTCTTTATTGAAATGATAAGAAAGTTTACACACCCCACTGTAAGCCATCATATATATGTATGTATATAACAGATTTTATGATGGATCTATGTACGTGTTAAATGGCCTTTTTTTAACTTCGTTTGTGCTATAAACATATTTGAACCATTAGTAATGATTCTGAAATGTATTACGTTTTTGGAAAACCCCCAGCTTTCCATTGTTATTGTACATATTTTTGGCAAAACCAATTTACCGATAAAATGTATCAGATATGATCACTCCGCAGATAAGCTCTGGTAAACTAATGTGTCAGTTTCTGAAAATGCTGCCTACACCCACCTATAATTGTATACATCTGTATATATATAAACGAGGGGATTAACAAAAGTTCGGTCAGTTGATGACTTTCAATTTGTTTTTGTTTTTGTTAAATCTAAACATACAAAATAATTTGCAATTACTATATTGGTGCTCCTTTAAAATTTCAGAATGAAATGGAGACGAGAAAACCCAAGATAGCTTAGGATAGGTCAGAGAAAATTCCACCATCAACGCAAACATAAAGTCGTCGTGTGATTCTCTTCGAGTCTCGGCGTAAAGACTATTTCTAAGTGGTTTCGAAGATTCCAGATCGGACATTTTTCCGTAGAGCATGAGCCACGAGAAGCTCGACCACAATCTTTCACTGCTGACGTCACTGTTGACCCCGATTGATGCAAAAAAATATTGCTAATGAATTGAGCTTAAATGCCATGGCTGTACTGCAAATATTAAGTAATCATCTGGAATATTGCTCAATTTTTCCTAAAAAAATTCGAAAATGGTCAGGTTAGCAGAATTTTGGTTCTATAAGTAAGATCCAGAAACAGAACAGAAACAGCAGTCCATAGTATGGAGCCCGACAGGATCAAATCCATCACCCGAGCTATAATCATAGCTGCTATTCGTATAGATAAGGGTCAGGCGGTACACCGAAGATTGGCCTACCAAAAGCTTTCAATAATTTGTGGGAAAGCGAGAAAAAAGAGGATTTGCGGTGTTGCTTTTTTACATCGTGACAGCTCGACATCCCGCACTGCTCTAACAACGAGAAAAAATACGTCCAGCACCATATTCTTCAAATATAGCACCTTGTAATTTTTGGTTATTTAGCTTAAAAGGCTAGATTTTGATGACTATTTTCAGAAGTGGATCTACAGGCTTAAGAAATGTGTTGAAATCAATGGCGATTATATAAAGAAGATAGAAAAAGGACAGAGATTATGACTAAGTACAAAAATAATTTTTATTTTTCATTTCTGGTCAGCTTATCGAAGTTTTGTTAAGCCACCCGTATACAGTATACTTAGAATATCTTGATCACACCTCGGACGTACATATTTGATAAAGAATTTAATATCATAAACAACTGTACTTTAGTGCCGATAAGAGATATTAATTTGAAACCTGAGACATTTTTGCGAAGAGGAGTTGAGGATTGACTAACTAATTTAATGTTGCAGCCGTTTTTGTTTACTTGCAGTTATGAATATTGCAGCAATTAATTTACTTATGACTTGTGATATCAGCGTGGTTATATAAAAAGTTTCCTGGGGTTTTTTATATATATTTTCGAACAAAATTTTACCCTACCAAATATTAATCACATTTCACATATTGCCCATTAGTGTCTATGACCTTTTGAGCGGCTCTTCGGTCTGCCAATTTTTTACAATTAAAAGAGTTTTGCACTGCGTATCTTCGAAGATGCGATACAATGCATAACGAATAGCGTCTTCTGCTGCTGGTGGATGAGGTATCGTAGAAGACACGAATGGATCCACCATCCGCCATCGCGCGCAACAATTCCAGCTCTGCCCATTCACTTTATGGAAGATTTTGCGAAAGTATCTTGGTTTGTAAGCCAAAGACATGGCCAAAAGGCCATCAAGCACGTGCACGTGCAGTTCCGTGAATGGGACTGAAACGAGCTGGCAAACAATGCCGATTTTCACCAGACTTTAAGTTGAATAAAAACGACAGTAAACAAAATTATCGCATTTGGAGTAATGATAATCAACCAGCCGTTCATGGCGGTTACAACCTAAAATAGTACCTGTCAGGAGTGCAATGAGGAATGCTTTGGAGTCTTAATGAATGACTTTTTCTTTACATGAATTGGAGGCTCTTAATGTGGACGACCTTTGGTTCCGACAAGACGGCGCTACATTCCATTCAGCCAACGAAATAATAAATTTTTGAACAAGAACGTTTTGTGATCGCATTATCTAGCATCGAGCGCTTGTGGCGTAGTCTCAAAGATCGTTATTTTTGGTAGTTGGTTGTCTAAGCGGATGAGAACGAGACGATTGCCGCCTTTGAAGAGAACATTCGTGGATTTATTGCTGAAATGCGGCTACAACTGCTACTAAAGGAGGTCCAAAACTGGGTCTCTCTGCTGGAATTGTTTCGAGCCAGCTGCGGCGGTCATTTGAACAAAGTCGTTATTAAAACATAATGACAAGCCCTTGTCTTTAAGGATTGACATTCCGTTGACTGCATTCAAAAATCGGCTACCCCTGTGTAGAACCACTCAGCGGTGGTTTTCCATCTCCTATGCTCTATAATCCTACATTTAACTAGCTTCTGATAGAAACTGATTGAGCTTAAAGGGGTAAACTTCCACATAATCTAGGCGACTTGATGCAAGGAACTCTTCGGGGAGTATCTAAGCATTCTAACCCTTGTGAACTATGTGTCAACTCAATTAAGCTGGAACTTGTCTGGTTCACTTAGGGGCATAAATTCCCCAAACTATCGGCAATAAGCCCGTTAACTTTGAATGGGATCGACCAAAGACCAAGGAAAAATACTGGAAGTATGTAGTTTTAAAAAAGAAACTGAACTGGAAAGGTAAAATATTAAGCAGAGATAGGAAGGCCTCCACAGAGCCAGTGCCAAGGAGTGGGGTTTAAACACTAAGATTTGTCAATGGAACTCTAAATATGTTATGAGACTAATACTTTTGTGTGGGGTGGTGGTCTGAGATAACAAAAAATCAGCTGTGATTACCAAATGTGTTGCGCTCAAGACCACGCTTATTGAGGCCACACATGTGTCTTCTCAAGAGACCCACCTTTTGAGCTCTGTTTGAAACAACCCAATCATTGCGCTGTATTTCAGACTGAAATTTCAGCCATCATGAAAGAAGCAGGCGTTGATTAAGTCGCTAGACTAGGGAAATTACATGTGAGGCTCACGATTTACTAGTCACGACCAAACATATTCTGCTCAAAACAACAAAAAAAACGTTTTGGTATGAGTGTGTACAATACAAAAATTGGTAAAAAAAACTGCTGTTGTTGCCGCAATCGACAACCGAAATCTTGTGATTTAACACCTTAGGAGTTCTTCCTTTGCGGTCACGTGAAAGATAAAGTCTACACCAACAGGTGGACATCGATTCAAGACCTCAGCAGCCATTTTCCAATTTGGTGATGAAAATTTTCGTAAAAAGGAACGGTTCCGTTAGCTGATATGAAAAAAATTGAGTTTCGAGGCTAAAATACTTCTGTAAGTCACTGTACATATATAAAAAATATTGTAAAAACAATTTCGAAAATTATTTCTAAACTACAGAGAACCGCATAAGAACCCAAACCTCATAGTCAGTGCTTATCTGAAGAATCAAAAAACAACTTTCCACACCCAAAAATAGCGCTATCAAAACAAACATTAAATTTTATCAAAACTATTTATTTATTTAAAAATATTTTTTTATTTTTTTTTTTTAAATAAAAAATTTCATAAAAATCACACAACCTTTATAATGACATTAGAGCTGCTCGTTAAACAATTTCGAAGAGTTAAAACTACAAAACAAAATTAAAAAAAAAATACAATAAAGTTTTTAACCAATAAAACAAACAAATTCCAGTCGCATATAAATAGAGTTGGAGCTATTGAAAACTTATAAAAATAAAATAAAAACGCATGTATGCATAAGTGTGTGTTGTACAGCTGCTAATATATTTATTGTTTATTCACGTGAAAGTCGTTGTACAATCCAAAAGAGACAACAATAACAGCAAAACCGCAAAACAAGTGCAAAAGCAAAATTTTAATAAATAAAAACAAAATAAACCTCAGAGTATATACATATACTCGTACATACATTTATGCATATGTATGTAAGTTTGTATATATTATTAAATTGGATAGTTATTTTTATAGGTGTTTCCAATGAAAATTATGCACATAAATTTATTGAAATAGAAAACTCACACATTTTTACTTACTTTTATTTATTTATATATGTTTGGATGTTTGAGTTGTTTAATTGCACATAGTTGTCTTGCTAAACACACTAATTGTTTTAAATTAGAAAACCACATAAAATTAATGCACATGTGCTTATTTAAGTAAATGATTTTGCAGTAAAATAAATTTAAAAAAAAATTGAAAAAAAAATTTGAAAAAAAAAATAATAGAAATTTTCCAAATTATAACTTTTAACAATAAACACGATTTTTTCACGCCAATTAATAAAATGTTAAATTAACGCAAACTACCGCTAAAGCGAGTTAAAAACACTGTGCATTGAACCAGCAAGAAAAATTAAATTCCAAAAAAAAAAAAATAAACAAATCTACACTTAAACAATATTATTGCCTACACTTTGTATGAAAAGCCAATGCACCAGACGAAATGAATCGATTAACGACACTAATTGGCGCGTTCGATTGTTTAAACGCGAGCGTTTTACTTTCACAAATTATTTATTTTTCGTTTTTTTTTTTTTCTTCTTCAACAAATTCACGCATGAAACAAACGAGCAATAACAAAATAATAAAATTATTGCGAACGCGCTAATCTCCCACTAACATGAACGACATACATATATACACTGACTGACACAAGATGGACGGACTGGCAAGCGAGCAGATTGAGCGTTGGGCTCGTATTAAATCTCTGTCAAATATTTACGCGCTGCTTAAGCGAGAGTCAAGTGTATTTAAAATATATATACATATGTATGTATGTATATATGTATGTAAAAAAATACACATAAGTAAATATACACAAACAAAATTTGAATTCAAATGAAATAAAATTAAATATCGTAAAACTTCTGATAGCGCAAATGCACACCAAAAGATTACGAACAAACTCTGAAAAACCGGCTAAGCATGTTATTTTCAAATACTGTCGGCTGTTGACATTTCAATGCCTCACTCAGCCCAACCGGCATCAGCGAAACACCTGTAAATCGGAGCGACGCGTCGCTACACACTTATCAACTCTCTCCTGTTTTCTTACTCAGAGCTTATCAGCTCATAAAAGATCCAATACTCTCTGCTATGGTTCGACTGTGTACACTAATCGCTACGCTCGCTTTGGAGGCGCTCTGTTTATGATTTTTCATATAACAGTTTGTTTGTGTGAATATGTATGTATTTATGTATACACTTGTATGCATACTACGTAGTTCTCTAACGCTAGATTGAGGGAGAAACTTATAAAAAGAGAAATGTGAATACATGTAGCTCCGGCAGAAATTTCTTTCATAACTTTTTATGACCATCTACAAATCTACTTTAGTCCGATAACTAATCAGGAATCCAACTCTATTGGTTTCCAGGGTTGATCACACTACATGATACATAGGTTTTTCCAACAAATTGAGGGACCTACAGTTTGTACTAAGCTGCCTGAGACTAACCGGCTGATGAACTTTTATGGAGGAAGTCGCACTTATATGATTCCACACGGCCCTTCTATGGATAAAAAGCTCAGGCTGTAAGCTTAAGCTACCTATGTACTTATGTATGTATGTATGTATGTGCCTACTGAATATGGGAATGGCTAAGCCCTTTGCTCAAAAAAAAGGGAGAGTACAAAAAATTTCTCCGCACTCCAACGATTACGGTCTAAAACAACTTGCGTCACTAGCACGTTCTGCTATTAGTCCATTAGCATAGAGATAACCGGCGGCAGTATTCGTGTTCCCACCTTCGTTTCTTGTGGGGACGTTATCCATTCTCGCGAGGTTATCAGCTATGCAGTTATTAGAAATTACACCGTGGCCTGATAGTCAAAATTAACTCTTCGAAAAATTATTCGACGGTTCAGAGACGAGAGAGGTTAAGTATTTTGCCATAAGTACATCTCAAACCCAAGCAGCCGCCTGAGTTTCGGAGTAGATATTGACTTCCTAAAGCGAAGTGACTGTGGCTCGGCACAATTTTGGTACTTCAGATGTTAAGGCTTACCCAAAACAAGACGTTAAGTAGACTTTTCATCATCCAACTACAATGTAGCTGGAATATTAACAGCCCGAACAAACGACGGGAGTCAATGCCTGGTGAACTAAATGTGGTTGGAAGAACTGGACGGATGCTCTGTTCAACCCACAAAAAAAGGGGACTCGCAAATAGGGTTCTATCGAGCGTATTGTGGAAGAGATTTTCGGCCTAGCCTTAGACCCGAAAAATATACAATTGACCAAATATTCACCATGCGCTAAATGGTGGAAAAGACCCATGAAAACGGGTTCGAAAGAAATCACCTCATCGTCGATTTTAAACCAACCTTAAAAAGCTCGAAAACAATCAACATCCACGGCTCATTGTCTGAATTTAGTATCTCGGTAATATTAATTTAGATATATAAACTGACTTTATGCCACATCAGAGGATCTCTCTGAGCCGTACGTTACCATATTTCTCTAGGGAAACTAATTCGAGCAGCAGAGCTAAATAGAAAATGTACAATCTTCTCTAAACATCGCTCTGCTGCTGCTTTATTCAGACTGGATAAGGAAACTAATCGCAAGGTTCTGACAGAGAACAAGGACAAGAGGAAATATCTTCTGCAATCAAACAAATAACCATCGCATACGCAACTCGGCTAGGAGTTTCGGAGAGTAAGATTTTGCAAGAGATTTTTGGTCCTTTGTGCATTGTTCAAATGAATGACAACACTCCAACCTTGAACGTATTCAATGTAATACCTGCTAGAAGGTACATAACATGTAGAGGACATTCACTACTTTGGAAATATCAGGAAGGATCTGGTTTTATACGGTGTCTACAATAGCAACGAACGGTGAAGAAAAGAAGAGACTGGCGCACTAAAGATCCGCAAATCTGCAAAAGTTTTTGACCGATTGACTTGAGATATTGCCAGATGGTTTACATGATTCTTCTTCTCTATTTTAAGTGGACCAGGTACCGAGTTATTCTGAAAAAAAAAAACATTTATTGTTCGATTTACTTGAAACTCTAATTAACAGGAAGACTTCTATTCTCTCCGGGAAGTAGACCATGTTCGGACCAATTCTGAAAAAACTTATTTATGGTTCGATTTACTTGAAACTTGGTACATAGGTGGCATTTTGCTCAGACTAACTGGAAGACTACTCTTCTCTCTGGGAAGTGGACCAGGTACCAACATATTCTAAGAAAAACCCATTTATGGTTCGATTTACTTGAAACTTGGTACATAGGTGGCATTTTGCTCAGACTAACTGGAAGAATTTGAAAGAATTGCTTTTATAGTTCTATATACTTGAAATTAATACAAATTCATTATGCGTTGTGTTCAATGTATTATTTCTATTAACAGTTATTTTTCATTGTTTCATTAAGTTTTCTGCCTTAGTAATCTCATTTTCGAACCAAAATCTAACAAAACTGTCAAGATTCTGTTTACTCAAGTAGATTCGTTGACAACATAACAACATCTTTCGCATATCAGCAAAAAATATCACGATATTGCTTTATTCGCCATACGCGCACGTTAGTCACGTTCAGACTCTTTATCAGCTTATCACAAAAACTATTTTAAAATTTTGCGAGCATGTTTAAATCATAACAACAACAAAATGTATTAAACAAACGTCAATATCAATTTAATTTAACAGTATGTGACAAAAAAGTTTTTGCAAAATGAAATTATGGCCATTAAAATTTTTGGCTTGCTACACATGCACCCCCACACACGCACCCACAAGAAATAAAATGAAAATGTTGTTAGTAAAATAAGATAAGAAATATTGTACAGCATCGTACAATAGTTGCTAAATTGGTTTGATAACAAATTTGATTTAAATTAAATTTTGCATACACTGCTCTTTGGCGAGGAGTAGAGAGTAGAACATAAATGCTGCACATACATACATACATAGTTGCTACAATAGTCTTTAATGCTCTGTTGTGTGGCTATTTACCCATTTTTATGGAGTAAAAAGAAAATAAGTAAAAGAAGACGACTTTACGGACATATAATATATATATTCAGTGACGCTTTCACAAAGATTCTTCAGCTTCACCAACGTATGGGTCAAAAGAGGCAAAAAGCAGAGATATTCAAGACCCCGAAGGCTTTTGCTCAATTAAATTTGTGACAGATACTGATATTAAGTGCAAAAACACCGTCTTCAAAGCTTATTCTTCAGAACTTAATCAGAAAACTCAACATTTTTTTTTATTTGTTTTTCGAACAAACTGAGCCATCTCGCAGTTTCAGCAAAAAAGTATATTTTTTGAGGTTGGACCAAAACAATGACATATACGAAGTCTGTTTGGAAGTTTCGTAGATTTTCGTGTACGAACATTAAAATATAAAGTTGTCCGAAATAAACTTTGCTCTACTACTATACGTTCTTAGGGGCAGAAATTCGATGGGTCTTCTGAGTTTCAGGTCGCTACGAGCAGCGGATTAGGTCAAGAGTAGATCTGTCAGTCAGTCATTCAGGTCAAAATTTACTATTTATTTTACTATTTAGTTATACTTAATTTTTAGGGAATTTAGTTTTCAAGGCTTTCGTTGCATCAAAGAAGCAAGGCATCTTCTCTTTTCTTTAAATATGCTTCTTAGAGGTATTTATATGAATAATACAATAATAATTAATTGCCGCTCATTCAGTTCAATACTTTGCCACTCAATTTTGTTGTAATTAAAGCCTTATTAGCTCTTCATTAGCTAATTGAGTGCGTGTGTGAACAGTCTTTTATTATAGTGGCCAATGAATATGATATATATTTTAAGAGTTACAAGGAGAATAAGGCGTAAGATATAGAGTTATCCATTTCGTGTTTCCGAAATCACAGCGCTGGTTTTTTGACATCTGTCAAACTTAACAGTTAAACCAAACATGTGGTGTTTTTTTGTTAAAGGCACAACGCATTAAAATTGTTAGAACCTACACCAAAAATGATGATTAAATCAACCGTGGCGCCGGTTCGTGTTCTAAGAGGTATTTATGGTACACGTAATCGTCCAACTACTAAAGCAATTGGTATAACTTTAAGAAATTTTAATAGACTGGATCAGTTACAGCTGGTAAAAGACCAGGGCATCATCATACACAATGCCATTTATATAGCTCAAGTAAAGAGTTCGTTCGGTTTTTATCTAAAAGATGGCGTTATTGTCCATAGTACTAGTGTTAGGTATCGCATCATGTCATACTATACGGCGCTGAAAACGTGTTTATTCGCACTAAAAGAAAGTCTTTGACACTTTCTCGATTGGTTGACTCAGTACGTTGTGAACGCTCGTCAAAGATGGACACCCTGGCAAGGAGAAAATTCGTTGTCAAAGATGCACCAGGTTTTGCTATATTTTTGGTGGGATTAACAAGGAATCATCTAGTACGAGCTGCTCTCCTATGGCCTAACGTTCAATTAGGCTCTCAACTGCCAACAACTGGACCGCTAGAAGGCAGCATTCAACCAGAAGAGGTCATCTTTGATACACAGAGGTCGAATTGTGTTCCATCAGGACAACGCCAGCCTACAAACGTCTTTGGTGACGCGCTCCGGAAGATCGGATGGGAAGTCCTCATGCCCCACCTTGTAGTCAGGTCTTGGCACCAAGTGATTACCATCTTTTCCTGTCAGTGGCGAACGCGCTTAATGGTGAGAAGTTAGCCTCAAGAGAGGCATGTTAAAATTGGCTCTCCGAGTTTTTTGCCAATATGGACGC